CCCGTGCAAATCGCTGCTCACCCTAGCCTCATATAAGCGATCGAGAGGTCATAACCTCAAGCTGATAATCCAACACTCCCGATTAGACTGTAGAAAATATTTTTACTCTCTTAGAATCTGTTCACAATGGAATGACTTGCCAACGCATGTGGTAAACGCTCCGAACATTACAGCCTTCAAACAATTGTTAGACATTCATCTGAGTGACAAACAACACATTGTGGTGTAATGTACCAGGTTTAGACTATTGGCATTTCAGTTCCATGTCGGAATCTAATGATTTGTACTTATTTTGCATTTACCATCCTATGGGTCTTGTAAAGCCAATGCTTTTTATCCCATCATACACTATTGAACTATTGAACTATATAGTGACTGCCCTTCGGAATTGGCTTTACCACCGCCGACTTCCAATCGCTCGGTAATGAATCTTCGGGCAGCGACCTGTTGAACAGCAGGTAAGAAAACGGCCGATAGTGATTTATGAATCAATGAGTGATGCCTGTCATGCTCAGTAGAATTCGTACCGTCTAGCTTAGCGAGTAGTTGACGCATTTCTTTAACTCCGCAATCTAGGTTGTCGATCTCGGTGCGGATTGTGCTCGCTGAACCCTACACGCGCCGCCAATGTGGACGCACTATCGGTGTTATAGATTAAGTGCCATCATGTCAATCACTCTACCACCGTAAGTTGTTCGCAGACTTCAAATACCCTTCTCATAGGTAAATATTATCTTGGAGGCAATTCTTGCAGTGCTTGTAGTCTTCTGTTCGAACTGCCAGCGCTTCTACGTGTTCGTACTGCCACAGGTATCTCGTTGCTTCTCATATGCCTCCTGGTGATGGGTAAGGTCAGAGAAGATGAATTTGTTCTTGACGCGCTTCCGCTGAAAGAATTTACCATATATTTTGTTGAACTGGACTGACTTTCAGATACCTGAGGAGTGCATACCACAACCACAGCAAATGTATTCCTTAGTTTATAACTGAGCATCAGGCTTCAACAGATGTGACCTACGGCAGAAACTAGTCCTTTTGACTCGCGACTCCGGCAAGGCAGTCGAAACCACTTTTCTTTACGGCAGTTGCATCCTGGCTCCAACGGACAAGGATATGTTAGCATCAGTCTCATGTTTCCCATGAACATTGAGTGGTCACTTGTTGTTAGGGACTTCCGAGTCTGAATATCACGCGCATCTCATGAACATAAGATTCGGACATAAAGGGGTTGAGCACGTTGTTATGCGCGTTGGATACCTGACGAGTTGTGCTGTTCAAGTTTAGCATCATTTTGCCGCGACACTATGTTGAGCCTTAGGCCATATTATTCGTCTGAGATAGCTCGAGCACCTCATCCGCTCTCATAGACCATCCTTGCGTCAATATTAGCTCGCGAATCTCGATGCCTGCACACTCATTCGGTAGTCTATCGCAGGGGAAGCACGTGTGGCTACTGAATTTGACTTCCTAGGCCATGTTATCAGGATCAAACCGGGTCTCTGCATTTTCTGGTGAGTCCGATCAATCAGAGGCCCCAGAACTGTGCGACTGATCGCACTTGTTCAGAGGGCTGCAGATGTTAATCAGAGTTGCACACAGACCGCGGTCGGTAGCACCGTGCGCGCCTTAAGCGTGAGCAACCTATTGATCCGGATTCGGAAAAAACTGAATGGCATTCCAAATTTCCTATACGGTGATATATTTCACCTTCATCAGTACGCCTCTTCGGCTCACTGATCGCAGACTTGCACCGTTCCCGATCTACCGGATCTTGATCTCTGCAAACATGGGTTTTCAAACTTCTCGCTGTATTCAGGCAGAAGAATATCGGCCTCATCCTCTTTCTGTCCACAAAAATGACTATCACCAGCCGCCATTTTAGATCACCCTCTTTTCCAATACGGGCAACTTATCTCGCTTTTACTTTGTTCTCACCCACGTCGACGGTTCTGTCAATTGTGCTCTGCAAAAATAACTGGGGCCAAGCAAGTGAAGGATCGCGAAATTGAAACGCTTCCCCTCGGTTTGGTTTAGGCTTGCAGGGGTAAGGAGATCTTGAGCCTCACGCGGTATAGCCAGCGGTTGAACTCTGTTTGTTTGACTCTGTTTGTTCATGTTTTCTACCGGTCCTCAGCACTCAGGCTTTCGCACACTGCAACTGCATTACCCTTAGAACGCAACGGGAGTAAACAATTTGTGTCAGGTGAAACTGAGTTCTTTGAAACGGCGGAAACTCGTGTCTCTGAGTTGGCACGGAACGGGAAGTGGAGCTGTTCTGAACGTTGGAAGGGTTTCCTGTTAGCGCATAGGGCTATACACAAGGAGCTGCTCGCTGGCTTACGAGACTGCTCCACTACCATTGGCTGTAGTTGTTCGCTGTTTCTTGCGCGAAGTTTGAACGAATGCATGTTTAGTTTTGCAAGTGAAAAGCCCAAAGCACGTTATGTGGAAATCCACATGATAGCTTGCACATGAGAGCATTTACTTGATTTTCTACAACTTTGGATCCGGTCCCGCAGGATGATTACTTCGACACTGCGAGCATTCCAGATCAAGAATCGTGATAGATGATGAAGCGGAGAGCACCCACAGCGATGGCAAGTATTTATGTTAGAAAATCCAGAACCAATGACGAAAGATAACTAGACTAAAAATCTTGCTTAAAAATGTTCAACACAGATAAATGCAATTAAGGTAATATTCCGAAAACACTGGCCACGGTGTCGTACTTTGACAAAGCTGTTCAGGACCAACATTGACGATATCAGTCCTACGGTTAGCACCTGTTGTGACGATGACTATGCTTTGTTCCCGATAAAGAACAAGTGAAAAGTGGTGATCTGGTTGTAGTGTTGCTTATTAGCTCTACAGTGCAATCGACAACTCAGCTGAGCTCGAAGTTGAACTTTTTTCCTTCGCATATATTCTCATCACACAAGACAATATTAAGCTCTGGCAGGAATGCGAGTGGAAGCAATGGGTGTATTAAGGGCACTCGCAAACAACGAATTAAAGGAATGTAGCAGAAGCGGCTACATGACCAATTTTCTAACCACTACTTGCAATATTTCTTTGGCTGAAGCTGAAGTACACTGTTGTTGGATTGTTACCATTCCAGCGCAAAGCAACAAATCCAGAGGAGACATGACTATACTTTGGATAGCAGTTAAGCCCTGCGATGTCAACCGGGAGACACGTGCCTATCGTTTGCTGCTTTCAGTCATAACACGGACACCGTCGCGACTGGACCGAACCTAAGTTTTGCGACCTTCTGTGTATGGCTTCGACTCATCAAGCCACACTGGTTCGTGTACTCTTGACCATTGAGAGCTACTCGTACTAGATTGCTCAATGGTTAGCGTTCAATTAAAATGTCCTGTTCTTTCAACTAGACGGCTGAAGTTGAGAAAACTCTCGTTTCCTTAAAACTGGGTTATTGTCACTTTCGAATTCGATGCTCTGATCGAATAATCTAATCGCCCTGTTGCACTGAGTTGAATACCCCGGCAGTATTCTAACCTGGATATAATCATACTACTCTCATCAATTGCTTTGTGCTGCGCTGGTGATGGATTAATTATGACCGATTGGTTTAATATCGCATCTGAAGCTGAGGCCCTCGGTTGTCTCCGAATTACCGGTTCGGATTCTCTGGCGCCTGCAGTAATTGAAGGTTGTGCCGGTTTCCTCTGCAAGGCATTGACCCACGAATGGAAAGAAAAGGCCATCTTAGTCAACTGGGGCCTATTGATGATGGTAGTAATCTGCAAGAAGTACAGACGCAAGGCGTATCGGCCATACACCTATAGTGACGATGTTGCTGGCCTCAATTGTTTCCGTCGCCTTACCGTGGAACGAGCTTTCCGGATGGGGTGATAACAGGTTTTCCTCCGTAGTGAGTCAGTATGAGCTGTGTTTTCACAAGTACCATACAGACTATAGCTGTTTTTCGATTTCAATAATGTATTCGCCTCACTCCATAGCTCTCTTATGTTCGACATACTTGTTTGGATAGATGTACTAATTAAATATGTGGACATCTTACGTGTGCTGTACTCGAACACAATTCACTTCCGACTTCACAATGGATTATCTCATGTATTTCCGATAGTAACTGATGTCCGCCGTAATTGTATCATTCATCCAACGTTTCCCAGCTTTATTGTTGACTCTGTCATGTAGTACTGGCAGAGAAACAAAAAGGAGAAGCAATAATCCATCCGTTCACTAGGACCTGATACGCGCACTAGCTTTACCCAGTTTACCTATTTCTCCTGCTTCGTAGTTTAATTGGTCGTCGCACTATCTGGATAGGATAGATTATCCGAGCACTCGTGTACAGTTCACTTTCTCGTGATCCCCGAACACGCGCTTGCGATATCGGGACTTTCCGTCTGGCACCTTTAACATCCAATCACTGTGATCTTCGAGCAGTGCTTGTTAAAGAAGTTGGCGATCAGGTTCATTTAATCGTGAGAAATCCAATTTAAGATGATTGCGTTTTACAATTAAAGTAGGCTTTAAAGTACGTTTTAATCGTTTCGGTTGCTGAAGCAGCATCCGAAGTACGGACATCTTCGGTGTGCCGACCCTTAGCCCAAAGGATCGCAACCCTGCCTGTTTGGCGATTGTTCGGCTGCGGAGTGTCGGTACTGCTCGCCGGCGTGCTGCGGATACCTAGCTTACATCTTCAGTGTTGTCAACGTTTGAACTTTTAAGTATACAACAATCATGGGAATGTTGCATCAGCTATCAAAGTTACCGGTGTTTATTTAAAAATAGAGTGTAGTTCAGTCCAAACCCCAGCTTGTACTCCAAAAGCGAAACTCACCTCAAAGTCGCTTTGTTTAACAGGCTTATCTACTGTTCCACAACGTTTGGTCATCTACTATGTTCTTATTATTTCGGTGATATTGTGTTCTGGTTGAGCTCTGCATTACGTGACTCGATTATTCGTTTCAGGTGCAGGGCACGGTCTGGCCGGTATTCTGTTTGCTGTCATGCTGTTTCCAAGATATTTCGAGACCAACCCGAATGCGGAACTTTTGGTTCGTGAGTCTCTGGCCTACATGCTCCAGATCACACCGACAAATTTCGCCAATTTACCATGCGCCACAGATGAAGCGAATGGGTCTTACCATCGTCCTGAGTCGGAGGCACTTATCCACTGGTGTCATGGTTCTCCAGGTGAGTCAGTTTTACATGTGTGTATCTTGAAATCGTTTTGGAGCATTGAAGCGGAAAGATGTTTGAGAGTAACAATCCCTATGAGCAAGTTCTCCATCACTCCGCCATGCATACGTGGAGCGACCACTATTCTCACACCACTGTCCAGCTATGTTAAACTTATCCTCTAGTATACATCAGATGTGCTAGTGTGTGTGGTAACAACAGACTGACTTACTCATCTTGCTCCTCAACAATACTCACGCTTTGTTCACTTCGGCCACCAAATGGACCTATTCACTGAGCTCATTCTATTTGTCTCTATCAGGTGTGACATGAAAGGTAATTTTCATGAATTCCATCGAATGTCCGGAGGGAACTTGTCCCAAGCTACTAGGGTTGTTCTCTTTTTACATCCTGTTTCCGTTATTCGCAATCCAGACATTGAGCCGCTGAATTGCTGTTGGTTTACCATCTGTCTGGTCGTTTGACAATATTACGTGTTCAGATGCATCGATTGTCTGTTGGCCTTAAGCTGCCTTAATTACCCCTCTCAAGGCATTTTGTTCACGCTAAATTCAGTTCGAATTTTGACATGAATAAATAAACACTTATGTTCTCGACTTTGCGAGACCCAGCTCATTTGGCATGACCAGTCAGTTACACGAAGTACCAACGTATCGAGCACATGTTGATCGGTGCCGCACACAAACTTTGCAGTTTTCGTATGTCTGCAATATACCGATAAATAATTGGACACTATGTCTGTTTCAAAGTCATGAATCTCTCGCATCGTATTCTACGAAGCACATTTGACACATTGAATGATGTCCGATTCGTTAACGCAACCTTGTTCCGATCATGTCATATTGTGTCGCGTGAGATTCGGCAATAAAAATCAAGGTCGTGGAACATCCGAGGACCATGGGTGGCAAAAATACTTCGCCTTGGTATGGTCGTGCGAGATCACCTAAAATTATCTACTCAGTCAAACTACGACGGAAGATTTGCTAGTTTCACACGCACGGTCGCCGAGCGCTTACTCTCGTTCGGTGGCATTAAAAAGGCGTGTAGTTTATTTCCGCGGATTTGGCGTCACCTTGTCGCTACGGTCATGGAGGATATGCTGGACGTCATTATGGGTTGTGACGTTCGTGTGACCTTTTTCATATATTTCGAGTAGCGGTTTACATATATTAACAAAGTGTGTGTGGTCCTCACATCCGATCTCCTTCTCTCTCGTTACTACTTTTAGTATTCTTTTAATAATTCTATAGCAACGAAGTGCCAGTGTGTATTACACACCTTTTGCTGCGAGGCCCCGCAGTGCACCAATCATCGTATACTCATCAATCATTGAAAATTCCCTTAGGTAGTTTCCTCAATGCGACATAGCGTTTCTCATCTGTCTCAATCCCATCAGTTCGTGTGATTCTCAGCGTAACTAACTTCGATGCCTACATACATTTTACGTAACTATTTCCTCAGCCGGCTGGTACCTTACCGGAATGATGCCCATCCGTTACCGGTAGCTCAGCCGGATTGCACTAGTTGCATTTTTCTCTTTTTTTCTGTGTATTGCGGCACAGTAGCTGTGTTCCCTACCTCTAGCTAACGTGTATGATGATGATGAACTATTTCCTCCATAAATCCTTCCCTCTTATTGCACAATTTTTCCACAATGCTTTTATACGGAACCAACGGTGAATCTTGTCTCACTAACCAGTACACCGATTCCGCAACTTAGTGAAAAAACCTCCGTTGCATCTACAGAAGAAGACATGTGATGCTACTGGTCTCACTCACGTACATCACTTTTGCCGGTCTAACACATACCTAGTACCGCATGATCTAGCGGCTCACATGATATTCCTGCACTCCGGTGATTCAACACTGGTCTTACGTCTGAGTTAGACGTACCTGCAACACATGTAGAAAACAGAAGTACGATGTGGCATTCCTAAGGGTAAATAAACAGATCGATAAGCCGTAGTTAGTGAGAATTTACGCAGCTTCGACATTGCAGTTTCATGTCACCAGGCGTGTGTATCGCACAGGTCGCTGTTGATAATTGACCGACATATAATCCATCCTCTCACTTCAAGTACAGTGCAGGCAGGCTGCGAACATTCAGCATGCTGGTGTTTTTGTGAGCTTTCACATTGATGTCGAAACCCGATACTAATTGTCTTGATGGCTTACTTAACCGGCACAGCCATATAAGTAAACATTTTACCTTACGCGATCCACGTTAACGCCCGCTTAATTGGTGCTCCCCGGAGTGCTGAAACTGAATAGTGTGGATTCCAGCTGGCTTGTTACATATCCTTTTGAAGAACAACATTAGTGCTGAGTTAGCTCACACTTTCACATTTTCCTACTCTTTTTACGCTTTTAGTTCCATTATTACCTCAGTAGAACTCTTTTGGAGCTATGCATTTCCTATTTACAAACATTGTTCAACCCAACTCGGTGAGCAACTCAACTTCCAAATCGATTTGCCGATATGCGGCGTTATTGGAAATCGCAAGATTAAAACTAAACGTGTCGGTGATAAAGTCGTTATCTTCACATGAACACAAACGTAAATCCGTCAACTTCGATCTTTTGAAGTGCGTTAGTGACCACACCTTACGTTTAGCTCATACTATCTCTCTGTGAACGCATATTCTTTGATGTAGTGACTCAGCACCGTATAGACAACTTTTTAAAGTCAGTGACGTGGGCGCAGTGATGACGGAATTTAGTTGGCACAACCGACTTATTCGTATACTGAGAACACTCAGACGATATTATAGCTGGCTGTGCCGTATGCCGGCTTGCAACTGGTATCTCCTCAGTTTTTTTAGCCTAAGTTTCATATTATAGCAAACACTTTTGTGGTTCTCTAGGATGTGTTGCGTCGTTATGAGATCCCCCGGTAGGCTCTGATGCCGTCTGTTGCTTACTTACGAGGTTTTCGCTCTAAATTGTCATCAGGAGCGCAGCAAACGTACGACATTCTAACTTGTCTTTCGCTGTAGAGTCTCGAACGTAGCGAAACAATTCATTCACCAAAGTTACTAGACCCGTATGGTATATCCTACACAAAACCTCTCGTGCGCATCAGGCACTTACAGAAAGGTGGAATTGCCCTATCTATCAGAGACCATCCTGTTCGTCCTTAAGGATTCAGCATGATGGAACTGTATTAGCGTTAAAAAGCTTAGCCCAAGCTAACCCGTGATTCCCTGTAGAGGGATGTAAAAGGAATGCCAATTTTGATATTTTTCCTCTACTCCCTACCCACCTGGTAGCCAAAACGGTACTGGGTTGATTGATTACACAGCATGGGGATTGAACGTATCCTTAGAATTGCCATCTCTTGCAACACGACCAACTCTCTTATCCACTAGACACAAGGAGTGGAGTCTCGATTAGTTACCGACCTCACAGGAGTTGGTATTGAGTCGCACCAGATAGCTGTGCCTCAGATGCGCTTATAACTTTCAAAGCACTCTTGTTTTTATACCAACACGCGAGGTCTCCCCAGCAAACTGACCTGGTAAAATATGTTTATTGGCCATCATATACTGACGTCCAATGTCCACCTTCCATGTGGAAAACCATCTGTCTACTGCTATAAGGACCGTTCTAGCGCGGCCGTACAGCCACCTTGTGTGTGTGTGTGTGTGTGTGTGTGTGTGTGTGTGTGTGTGTGTGTGCTGTAAACGCTCCGACTTCCGTCGGTGATCAAGTTAGGAGTGATATGCAAGAGCTAATTACTGGTGTATAACTTCACAACTACGTTATTTGATTTAAGAGATTCAGATCAACGAAGAGGTCGGCAAGTTAACACTACTCGTTTAAAGTATGCGGCAAAAGGCACTAGTCCACCTTCGATTACCAACTTGAAGCGCATTTTCTGCATCGCACCTACCATCTCAGAGTGTTCGTACTGTTGATCTCGGTTGCCAAGGACAGACAGGAACAGCAACGATATAGTTAATCAACAAAGGTCTCTTGCGATACGTGTCTTGGCGGTTCGACGCGACTATCTATCTGTAAATGGTCAACACTTATCTGAGACCCCATGTAACTATGCCATCAAGTTCGGTTAGCACTTGTAAAGGTTGCGATTGAGACCGCACGGCACCTGATCCATCTCCCTTGTCGGTTTAAACTGAGGTTACCAAGAGTTTGCAGTGCACAATATCGGTCTCTATGGAGTAAACTTGCGGTGGGGTTTCGGACCCCCAAGCACCCTAATCCCGCACATGCTGTCACATACGGAGACTCATCATCTACTCTTCCATGAGAGGTCGCCATTTAAAGCGGATTGAAATACCTCCAGAAAATTTTCCCCCTTTCGGTTATGCCAGACATGGAATGCTCTCTGGACTTCCTTTATGTACACTTCCACTCCATCCGAAATCCAAAATTGACTTGCTGACCCACCTGCATTCTATGACTTATAATCCTAGTTCATAGGACCGTGAGTTGAAATGATCAAGTTGAGCTCAACAGGGAGTCAAACGACCTTCCTTAGTTTTTAGCACCGCTGTTTGATCTTGATCTTTTTCACCTCGGACATGTTAATTGTCTGCTTTTTTCACTCATAATAAATCCATTGTACCACTTTCCATCCATCTTCAATGATCTCATTTGTGCAACTGCAAGCTGACACTCCATAAAAATCACACAGCACCTGGCACTTGAACGCATGTACTGAGTTGTACGATTGAGTTAAGTTTAGATCAATTAAGTAACCAGCCAAGACGAGTATACATTGCGCGTATCCACACCCCCGTCCTCTGGTCGCTGGGAACTGCATTAACAGTGGGCACAGGGGCTTTAACAACATTTTGATTTGTGTAGCTGCACCAGTCCAAGCTACTGATACATCAGTTTGTCTGGTCCGCTTTTTCTCTGAGTTGGACCCGTGTATTCTAGCTTTAGCGTTCTGTCGCCTGACAACGAACAAGCCCAGACAAGCAGCCGGAACGGAATTATTCACTCGTATTTCGACCATATTGTCTCGTCTACCACGTTATTGAGACATATGATGTATTCTTGACAATGCCGGGTACGTCTGTCTAGACATGGTTATGTTAAAAGGACACGAATGATCGGTAAATATACGGAAGTGTTACGACTTTACCGGTTACCTAATGCCGAGGTGGATGTTGTATACATCATACTTTTTCACCGCAGTTGGGCTACTCCAAATTACACTTCTTAATCTGGATAAAAGGTGTTCCACTATATTTGATTTCATTAGTTCTGTTAGTCTGCTACATATTCCATTTCCAATTTACGTGTCTATTTTCTCTCAAATTATATGTTGGTTGTATGATATCCCCGGTGTGGCTGCTCTTGATGTGAATGTAGATAAGGTACCTACCTGTCTAACATCTTCCACCCCGATTACTGGCACCAGACTGTCAGTCGTTCCTGAAGGGGATGTGGTGTGCGGTCCTTGTGACCGTGGTAGTCTCAGAGTGTTTCCAGGCACCCAGTGTGGAGTGGAATACGGTCCAGTCACTGCCTTGTGTACACCTGGTATTCATGATCCCCAAATTAGAAAGACAGGAACGCTGCTGCTATGCATGTTGAAGGAGTGTTGGTCTGCTGCGTTGTTGGAACGTTGCTCCCATCCGCATGGCTCCCGATCTTATTCCTTCGGGGTAACACTGGATCTGTGGTGTGTGGTTGAAGTTGTGGGCGGTGCGGCGCAAGCCTCCCTTGGTCCCTCTGTAAGCGAAGGCGCTCTGTGGCTGTCCCCATGGAGACCGCAGCGACAGGCAAATCCGAAACCAGATGCCGCCAACGGGTGTTGCTTGGATTTGTAGATGTGCCGCTGCATTCATGATTGTATTTGGTCAGATTGCCAGCATGAGAAGGGATCAAAGGAATTCTTTAAGGTATATGATTGACGTCTGCCTAGAGGTAAAATCCTTCGCACAGGCAAGGACAAACTTCTCTGGTACAATTCAGTGGTGGACCGCAGTGGCATTCGATGGCACGAAAACCCAACCGATTGATCCGCCCATTTACTCTTCCCCCCGAAGTGTTCGTACGGCGTCAGTGTATTCACTGCCTCTTCTTCGCCTACTCGACTCTTCCTGGGATCATTTAGCTTTTGAATTGCGAAAACTCCAAGTAGGTATGTAGGCCAACTATCGGTTCTTGCTAAAACAGAGTGCCCAAGCAATGTATCCCCGAAGGCGCGATGGAAGGTTAACAGGTCCACGCCTCAATAGCACGTGTTCGTATTCGGACTTCTACACGGTTATAACATCAACAAGTCACAGTGGCGATTCAGCGAACCAGCTTAATTAATCTGAGAATCGCGCAGTCTTTTTAGTTGTTTTTTCTGCTGATGTTTATCGATAGTGTTCTCCAGAAAATACTCAACTGCTCCTACTATTATTGACCATATCCATCTCGTACACGCTAGCCATCTGCCAACGCCCTCGGTCGACCCTGAGACTTGTATTACCCTAATGAAATCATCTTCCGAGTCCTAACCAGCGTGGTCCAAGACACCATTTTTCCTCTGTCAATCGGTCTTATCGTTCCTAGTGGATTCCCTTTCTCGTTGACCTCGTTTGTAACACCCTAAATGTGAGATTCCACTTAACATTCAGTAATTGTGTCTCGTCGCCTGGAACATCTGATGTTCCACGTCGTCTGGATAACACTGTTTCTTGGCTGTCCGTTTAAGTTGGAATTTATCGGCCTTGCAGCTTACTGCGATTGCGTCGACGTGAGTGCATCGAGCGTCACATGCACTTAATTTGAGTAGTCGGAGACGCATTACAGAACAAACGTCTTGCACGATCGAATGTATCCATTTCAGACGAAATCGTGGCGAGTGCGAACCCTCATGTTGACTCATCTGACGTAGAGTTCTAACTCATAAACAAATAATGGAATTTGCAGATATGTAATTTAAAAATCGATCTATCTTTGTTATAACTATTTTGATGTAATCTGAAGAGTGATCTTTCTCGGTAAACCGTGGAAAAAGGTTTCCACGAGTTTGGCATGAGGAAAGAAGAACAAAACATACTGTCATCGGGGTCCTATAACCGCCTGCTTTTTCTAAATGCTCATTTCGAGAGGATTTTCGCAGCCGTAGTCGTCACATCACAATTCGGCTCTAATGGAGCAGATTAACAAACTGGACTGGACACTTGACTCATCTTGGCCCATTGAACCGATTGTCATGAAATGCACCACGGGCGCAGTATGGTGCCTATTCATTATGTCGTTCGCATAGCTTCACGGGCGTAGCCAAAACACAGCGCAGCGCATCAGCAGTACATCGGCACATCGCGTATCGACGCTTCGCTACCACATGACCACCCCCGGTCTTGTATAGGCTGGATATACCACGAGGTCGCCACACACCTACGCGGATTGCAACCGGGACTCTCCGGATTACAGAACATGCATTAATCTTTTGACCACCAACCATCAGGTTTGTTCCGATAGGGACTCGCGTTTTTACCATAAAACGGCTTCCAACCGTTCTGTTATTTCAGTGATCTCCATTACCACCCACTCTTCTAAACTGCACTTCTAACATGTTGCATGATGTTCGGTCGTTGGATCGCTTTCTCTTTTTCCTTAATCAGGTGCGGTTTTAGCCTACGCCCGTGCATACATCCTGTGGAAGGATGGCCGTTATCTGGCAGAATGCCGTCGCTGCGCCGAGCTTATCTGGCACAGAGGTTTACTCAAAAAGGGCCCCGGTAAGTTGTTTTGTTGGAAGCGCGCCGTACGCCTCCGTTTTATTTCACTTTTATAACCGTTCTAATTTTTGTGACTGTTACTGGTAGTGGCCATGCGGTTCATCCGTGGGTAGCATATATACATATATATATATGTATATATGTATATATATATATATATGTATTTTTCTCCAAGGTGCGAGAAATTCTTCCTTAACTAGAAACCGATCTCTATGTGAGTTGACGCTAGTTTTAGCTTTTTAGCTATTTTCTGGACCATTCTGGAATATTTCATCTTGTGTTGTCGGATGAGAACATGAGTAATGTCACTTCCAGACCTAAGGATCTGTCGAACTTGGTGTGTAATGTGTAGGGTCTACACCTGCGCTGATTGTGGTTGGCAAGCTGTTCCAAAAGACGGTGTACCTGATGAGGAAAGAGTTGGAGCTCATGATTGTTCTAGCCCTTGGTACAAGTAGCGTAAACTTCTTGTTACGGTGTCTATAATTTGTATCTTTTATTTAAATTAGGCAGGTAATGGTACGTTTTCCGATGTAACAAATTGTGAAGAGATATCGAGTTATGCTTCAGACGTCGCAGCCATAGAGATTCAGTGTAAACTACGTGAAACGATCGCAAAAGTTCAGGGTGGATGTGATACTGAACTAACGTTTGGTGAATGACATTTGTAAATTTTCCATAGCTTTCCGGTCTAACTTCCGCATACTGACATAGACGAAGTTGCAGTATTCGAGAATAGGATTACAGTTTTAAATACTTCCAATCTGCTGGGGACTGTATGGATTTTTGGCATATGCTAGACACGGATTGTCTGGTTCGAGCTATTTGGTATTGGGCTTGTTCAGAAAAGTGGAAGTCAAAAATATCGGATTCCAAGATCCCGGGTAGACTGCCATATAGGCATAATATTGTCGTTAAGTTTAATTGGCCCATCGGGGAACGAGCAGACACATAAAGTAATTTAGAATATTTAGTTCCATTCAATAGTCTGGAGAACACAATGAGAAGACGAACGCTGGTAGATGTGCGCATTTCGTACGGTCGCATCAGCATCAATACAATAACAAGAAATTATACCGTTCAAATGGTGTTGCCAACCAAGCAAATGCAGTGAGATGAACGGCAGTGATGGTCCTAGGACCAGGGCAACCGAAGGTCAACAACTGATTGTTTCAGCACACACAGGACATGTCTTAGCTGGCTTATCGCCACTGCCTCGGCAAACCGCAAGAATCGTGGATTGGGTTGACGTAATAATATCCGAAAGGCGGATCTGGGACCCATCTGGTGACAGGTCAACATTGGTAACACCCTTTGAAAGGCGCAAGATGATTTTTTGTTATTGTATTGGCGCTACAGAGGCAATACAAAATGTGCACATGAAACAATGTTTGCTTTGCCGGTGGGGTATTTTATCAACCACGTGTTGGATCATTCCTCAAGGGAGTGAAGTTCATCTTCAATTAAAAGCAATGTGTTCTGAATCTCATCAGGATGGAGTTTATGGAAAACTTGATGTCATCAGCAAATATAAAGAATTGGCCATTTTTGATGCATATTAATGTAGAGGAGAAAAGGCAAAGAGCCAATTACAGTTCCTTGGATGACGCTGCTAGTAATTGGGTGAAGAGAAGAGTGGTGGTCATCTAAAGTGACTATTTGGGACCGATTGCTAAGGTAGGAGGAAAACCAAATTAAACGTGGGTTCCGGATTCTAAGGAATTCAATCTTTTTCAACAACCGTTTGTGTGGTTCTTAACGGTCAAATGCTTTTTCTAGATCCAAAAACAAAATTATTCTTGCCTAACCCGTCTGTGGATTCTGGTGTAGTTTAGTTAGTGTAGCTGGCAGTTCGTGCGGGAACCTCTATCAAAATAGCCATGTTGAGATGTGTTAAACAGGTTCCAAGGAACCAAGGAACGTTCTCTTGACAAATCTTTCAAACAGAATGGCGATGGTGGGAGTATGGTGAATCGATCGGTGAATGGTAACATTTTGTTTTTTTGACCGCTTTTATGACGTGAGATGCTGAATGAAGTATCCCATTGATGAAGAAAATAGCTAGTTTGTAGCGATAAACTGAACATATTCAACAAAATTAATGGTCAGTCTGGCAGTTGAAGGGATCTCTTCGGAGTGCAATCTGAGAGAAGGTTTGATGATTTTCATTAGCTGCTGAATAGTGTTAAGAGAAATTTCGACACTTCTTAGACCTTTGGTCGTTATGAATTGAGGGCATTCAGGTATAGGGTCGGATTCAAAAATCATGGAGGTAGCAAAGAGGGCGCTAAATGCCTCGTAAATGGCAAATATGGCACTAAAGGAGTTACCATGTTTATCCAATAGTCCCGTTCGTGATTTGTTTGCTGACTGATGTACAATCCCACACTGTAATGCAATGTGTAATTTTCGCCGCAGCACATCAGCTACATCGGTAGAGTATTATAGGTAACACCGACCATTCGTCTTTCGTACCACAAATGATCTAATTCTGTCTTCCGATCATACTATGGACTCAGTTAAGCTCCTACGAAAATCCAGTTGCTTACAAAATGTGAGCTGGTCAGCTCCTCCTCAAGTTTACTACTTTTGAATCGCCTAACTCTGTTTACGGAGACATGAAGCGATCGTACAAAGGTGAACACTTTGAAGTATTATTACCGGAACGGAGTACTCAGCCAGGATGTGGCAAATTCCGAAGGCAGTTTGCAATATTCTGCGGACTGCTTCTTCTAATCTCAAGCTTCAGTTTGAAATGTGCTCTGAGGACAAACGTTTACAAATCCCGCTAATCATCCACGTCTCACCGCCATTAGTGGGCTTAGCCGAAGCTTCGTTATTAGCAACACTTGAAGCACACCTGCTACAATGAACCTGAGGAATTTCATCCACTTACTAGATGGTCTTGTCTTTCTCTATTCCAACTAATACTCAGCGCAATCCCCCATGCGATGTGTTCCCACGTATGCGGCATATTCTGTGAACGAACTAATTTTCTCAAAAGGTAACTGACCTGAAAAGTGGGTCACATTGCGAGAATGCTTACCAGAAAAGAAACCGCTTTACAGTTGCATCAGGTCGAATTATTTAGTACATTCTTTCGGAACTGAATCAACCCTGAAAACTGCCTTGGATTGAGGGGTGTGAATGCCTACTGGTGAATGAGAGTGTTGTGAATAGTATTTGAGGTCAGGCGAGACGAGCTGCTCAACCACATCATGGAAAGTGCGCTGGCTCGAGTTGAGTGGATAGAAAATGAAACAATCGTTTCACAGCGGATCGCGTACTCAATCTGCTAAGGCATGCGTCCCTTTATTCCGCTGACTGCCATCGGGACGTGCAGCAATTCATCGGTTGGATTGTAGAATCCAGCTTTCACTAAGCTCTAAGTCCCTTAGTGTTCTCATTGATGTTTAGCGCGAAATGTAGAGTGAGGGAGTTAACACAGGGCTGATAGAATGACTGACATTCTCGTGGTACCTTGCACGACGGATGTTGACCATTTTCAGCGTGTCACCAAACGTGTACTCTCAAACGGTTGGAACATGTTTACGGATGACAGTCATTTAAGTACACTTCGCGTACGTTTTACTAGATGACGTTCACGTTTTGAAACACGCGGGTGACCTAAATGAAAAACCACAGATGGGCTCACACTTTCCACATTGTAATGATAATTTCCATAAAAGATAACATCAAGAGTAATTTAGTATAGGGAACTTGCTGAGTCGTCTTTTACATAATGTTCAAAAGTTTTATGCTGATGGTCCTAAGGAGAATTAAGGCGTTGGGCAAATTGGATAAGTTTATTTCGTTTATGCAGACGAGTAATGGTTACTCTGCAGGCGACTCGTGAAATTGAAAATTTCGACGGGATCATTGGCCATTTTCGTTTACAGATTAATATTTCAATAGCTGGTTTGTGTTGTGGAACGCATAGGCATCATTAGAAACGGTATATCTCTCTACAATGCGTGATTAAGTGATGGTAGTTACCGAGGATGCTACATCGTCGAGGATACTGTAACCCGAATGGGCGCCTCAGTCTACCATAACTCAACTCCTGTATTGTCCTTATCTCGGTGTCGTATCTTAGCTTCACGCTTATTGATAGTACTAATATTATTAATATATTTCTTGGAAACGTGAGACATGGTCGTGAACCTAGTTCGATCAAGATGTACAAGTTCCATTTCAGATCTGTTGGTGTGCACTGGTAATTTGTCCGTAGCTCCCAGACATCAACCAGATATTTCCTTTGAAAATGTATCATTCACCCTCAGCTACTCTAACACATACGAATTAAGCACTTCAAGTGCTCTGCATAAATTAAATGTCCGGGGGTTCTGCGGCGTTGACCAATTTGGTGCGTCCCAACCTGATCCCGCGTGTCGACTTTTTCCTCCTACGGACTTCTCTTGTTGTAGCACCTTGTGAATCGAAGTGGTGTACGGGGGGAGGGGGGTACACATTAGTGTACAGATGCCCGATGACTTTTTTGATTTGCGGCGTTCGTAAAGTCACGACACTTGGTACTTGTCGATCATCCCAGTGAGTCTCGAGCCACGTCGATCTGTGACGCATCATTGGGTCAAAGCATACTACAAAATGCTCCGGGTGTTCAACTTCCATCACACAGAAATTCGGATCTTATGCCTAAATCTATAGTAAACGATAGCGCTATATCACTTCTAATCTGTTCCTTGTCATCAGAATTCACATACTGTCACTCAAATTGGCGACACCCTGTGGAGTCAAACAGCATATTTCACAGGGCGGAAATCAGAGATGCCGTTTGTCCTCCTACAATCTCGTTGTGCAGCCGATATCAACTGCCCACGAGAAACCACAGTAAGATCACCATGGAATTTCGAGGTCGGTGATTATCGTTTTCCAATGCCGAACCAATTGCTTATTGTGTGTCCCAAAGTCAGAAGTCCAGTCAGTCGACGGAACAAATGGTCACATACATACCGAGCATTCTGCTGTGCATGCTTTTGTAGACTTTGTCCCCTATCAGATGCGCAAACCGATTGTTCCACTTCCATCCATTCATCCTGAGCTTGAGCACTTTCGCGGACTGCAAGTGAGCTGCTCGTGTCGCCTGACCTCAAATGCCATTCATATTCATCCGTAGGCTTTCACATCCTCGAATATGCAACAATTCACAGAAGCGGTTCACCGAAACTATGTATTACAGTGCACACGATACTACTGCACAACGACCCTATTGCTGCTACGCATTCTCACAATGTGATCTACTTCTCAGGCCATTTAACACTTCGGAAATTAATCGGTTTGTCGAACATGCCGCATGCGTGTGAATGTACCGTGTGAGTGATTATTCTGAGTCTTCATGGGGATTTGAAGGGACGACAATGCTTATACCGATGTGGATGGGTTTCCTCAAAATCCCTGTGCAATATGTCCTTTGTGTGTTGCTCGTACTGGAGCATCAGTTTGGCGAACAGGTTATTGCCCCCACTGCGTGGGTGGGTCAGTAATAGGAAAAGAAAGCTATACGCCATCTGATTCAAGCAAGGTACACTGTGCTCACTTTCATATTTGAGTTTCGACTGAAGCCGAGTTGTATTCAAGTTTTGTCTGCTTGGCGCTCTTCATAGCCTTATCTGGCTTAGCTTATGTAATCAAAACGCATTCTATCGCCTGTACACAATACGTTTCTACGATGGCGCTTCTAGAGTGGTTCACCGATGGACTATTCATGGTGGTAATCGTTCGATTCGGCCAATCCTCCTGATCAAGAAGACGAGCTCCAGAGTGCCAGTTTGGTAGCCGCGGATGACGAAGTATCGAGTAGGATAAAAGCACGCGACATTTACGTGTTTCAAGCGCTTTTCCTGAGTTAAGATTGGATGATTAGTTCTTCACAAATCAAAATCATCAGAATAATCTTTCAGAGTGGCCATTCGTAGCATTAGATATGCGGTGTTATGTAGGAAATTGGTTCCTCGGCCTTTTTGTGCGGTCAGTTACCAGGTCCTTCGGCCCTGCAATCCACTTTGACCGCATCAAAATCAGTGATTCTTTTATACCACTAAGGTCATCGAGCTACGTAACAGCTCCGCACAGCTTGTTGCAACAGCGCCATATTGTAACATCCCTACATTTGTCACTTGTCCACCATGTCAATTTTGTGGTCTAGCTGCATTTCAGAAGGTTACGTATTCCGTAGGAACCACCTTGACCATAGTGACCTCGGTCTAATACCAGACCTTCATGGGGATGTTCATCAAGAAGCACAAAAGTTTGCCATTTGTGACACTTCCTGGTTGGTTTGGGGGCAATTGATCACCCAGTGCTACTAGATCATGCGTAATGCACCACAGAACACTTTGCTGTTCAACATTGCAACAAAGCCCATTGATGTCTGACATCACCAAAACACAGACAGCAGAACGTAGAGAGGTCATTCCTTTTCCTTCGGGATTCATCAGGAGTGTGCACAGATTAGATCACCGCATTCCTAGACTTATGAAAAAATAATGCAGGTTTAAGGATGCTTATTAACAATCAAATCAACGGGGAATTTTCGAGATAAGCCACTACATCAAAAAGGTATAGTTCTTCTGAGCTGATCCAGGGAATATGACAGTATAACAGGATAGAACGCAGTCATCCGATCGAACATTATCCTATGGAGTATTGACAATACCTTAAGGGTTTCACAAACGTGCGTGAACTAACAGGTTCTTTGGAAATAGATACCGGGATATTTGATGGCGTAATGTCGTCGCTCAGAGTTGGAGAAGTGGATTCATTGATAACCAGACCGCCAGTTCCACACACAGTGTGGAAGTATTGAGAATAAAGGATCAGAATCATGCTCATCGCGCCAGCTCTTCTAATTCACGGTTAGACATAGAAGATGCGCCAACGGTCGTCGACTTTTTCGCATCTAATACATTGTCTGAAAAGTGTGACAATTTCCCGTAGATCCTGACACTACCTATGGTGTTCGGCTACATTGCACGTAAAATGTGCACTCATTTTGTAAGAGCACCTTTCCGAGAAGGTATTTCGAGAACTGGGTGCTCGACTAAGTTGGACGGGCTTCTGAAGTCGAGGCACACAGTCATAATCGGGTTGCTGTTAAATCCGACGCTCTTCTTGCATCTATAACCTGTCATGAACGGAATCCTGCTACTCTCCTCATTCACTCTTGATTCTCGTTCCCCACTAAGTACCTTTATGGATATCACCGACAGCCGTATTCCTGTGATTAGCACAAACAGCGGAGCTTATCTTTATGCATTAATAATTCACATCACAGGACTGACGCATTCGGTAGCGCTCAATTCAGTTTGCGTTTCCAATGATATGTCTCGGAATTCCCGCCTTCGTTATTATGCTTATGATGAGATGAGCATGCGCAACCTGTTCCAGTGCGTTTCAGTACTTGGGTCCTAGTTGGTTAACAGAGCACTGTGCATAAAATATTGTACTACACCCACAGTGCAACCACCGGTGAAAGGTTGCATTCCTTCGTTTGACTTTATGAGAGTGCTGACACATCACTAATACACATCTGCGCCTTTGGGGGGTAGCGTTTTTCTTACCAGCAAGACGCGATCACACTGTCCTGAATACAAGTACATCAACACTTGCGGTCACCTCCACTGTATGCTTCGCCTGCCCTGAATACATGCACCCGCAGTGACAAGCATAGCAGCATCATTCCATCATTACCGCGGTGCATAATCTCTTCTCCCTATATCAATGAGAATTTTTGCATTTTGACAAAACAAATGCACCACCCACACAAAAACAGTCTCTATTTCCTTTCCGTGTCGCGCAGGTATTTGCCACGGTGTGGCCGGTAACGCATACATATTCCTACTAATGTACCGGCTAACCGGAGAAGCATTCTATCTACATCGATGCGCCGCGTTCGCCCGATTCATGCAGATGGATGCATTTAAACAAGCCCGTCGTCCGGATTGTCCATACTCACTTTTTGAGGGACTGGCTGGGACAGCGTGTTTTTATGCTGACCTATCTGAGCCAGCAACCGGCGCCTTCCCCCTGATGGATCCTTTTTGGGACGTATACACTAATCCCGATGCCAGCCGACCTGTCCAGTAGCACACCAGATGGTACGGCTGGAAATCAGACACAATTTATCAAGCACTTTGTTCCCGAGACATTTTGTACCTTATACACCGAATATATACGTACGCTAAGCGTCCAATTCTATTTTGTCTTCTATTCAGGAGTTGTAAATGTCTGTTGTAGATCGGTATTGCCATACACAGTATTCTCATCGGAAGTCATGGTCCCAAGCAGGTCACTTGCTTTGTCGCACAAACTAGCCGGTATCGAGTTAGCTCGAGAATAAAACGCTCACGTATGTTGTTTGGTCGTTTGGCGTCTATCATATAACCACCAACTTTCTTTTATGATACGTAATGTTAAGTAGCTGCGATGCAACTATGATATCGTAAGTAATGGGGGACGATAAGAAGGGATAAGTGGGACCCAGCGTATGGCTTAAGCAAGCATTGAGAACCGAGACGTCTACATTTTGTCTGAAATACAATCTCACAGGCGAATGGCAATCGCGTCAAAATTAGGCGGGATCGATGAGACGGTTTTACTTATTCGTCTGATAATCAACGTTATTCCACGGATAACTGCACCATACACAAATCGTAAACATGCGGTTTAGTTAGAAGATGATCAACAGGCCATTTGTGTTAGTGCGACCCATGTCCTGTTACACGTTTTGGTTCCACCAGACAATGGGAATGGTATATCGGTTCTCATGTCTAGCACTGCGCGTCGTGCTATATGTACACCACCGTCGTCTATCACCTGTGGACATTGTGTATATTAATGGCATAGGTACCGGGGACCGATCTAGTCGGGTGTGGCGTTGCTGATAGCCCGTCTAAAATGATTAAGACCGGGTGGATCTGCTTTTTCCTTTCGGCAAACTTAGACTCCGTTCTATTCCACTCGACTAGACGACATTTACACAAACAAGGAAAGTAAGTGACTGAAAGCTATGCTCCTCATGTCTCTGGTATCTACTCCACACAACATTTGCTGAAGCTCTGAGCACTGATAGTCGTTCCAATTAATTCTAAAATTCGTCCACGTGAACGACTGTTAAGGAATGTGTTGTCTGACTACATCAGAGCCAGTGTGCGCAACCGTCCACGAAACAAGCAGGTGAGTGTGCTAACACCGTTGGCCAAGAAAACCGATTCGGTCAGACGATTTTATTTGTGGCTAGTTACAGAATAACTATTCCCCGAGACCGAGTCGACTTGATGTGCTACAAGTCCTTGCCCTCAAAGTGCAAAACGGCGGTTTCTGAACATTGAACGGTCGCTTTCGTTCTTGTTTGGACTTCTCTGGCATAGACAGCTCAAGCTGCGCATCAAATTCGGTGGGCATACGGTCGCCGACTGATTTCAAGTGTAAAATGCGAACTTCATCAATTTCAAGAAGAGATGTGGGCGGTAAGCCTAAAGTGAAAGACTGCTTTTGTTTACCTTTCCGCCAGATCTATCATATTGAGATAATTTAAAGCAGTTATTTCCCTTCACAAGGCTCCGCTTGTACCGCACTGGTGTGAAGCTCGTAAAGTGCAGGTATTGGCCGGACCAGGTTGCTTTTCTGTAGATAAACCTCTTAATGAACAATGATTTATCACGGGATAAAAGCAAGTGCTTGACACGTCCCGTAGGATGGTTGAGGTGAATATGATGAAATCAAAATAAATCTGGGTCGTCTACCGAACGTCTGTCTAGATGTATACTTTGATAAATTACATCAGTGTAAAATTAAAAATAATCGAGCATAAACGTTCAGAAATACACTGGGGTGCAGTGATCGTTGATGTAAGGCGTGAGAAAAGTAAAATATGGTCGCTCACTTGGGTCCATTTGATACATAAATCCCGTAGAAAAGCATGCTTGGCGTAATCCACAATAGAGCAGTTTAGGTAACCAAATGTTGGGAGCTAAGAGCAACATCTAATCGTTTTTTGAAAACGTCCAAGGTAGGAGAGGATACAACTGAGTCTGGGAGTGCGTCCCAGGGTTGGCAAACCAGAAGGGAAAAGTAATTCCGTCGACACTCTAGACGGCTATATTGTTCCTTCAACTTTAAGCAGTTACCCCTAAGCTGCGTGTTGTGGCTAAGTTTTAGCAAATGGCGGCATACGTGGTTGGGATCACTCAGTATCTGGTACGCTAATATGAGATCGCCACGCAGCCTTCGATAGCGTCAGCTGAAAATTCCCAGCAACTTCAGGCTTCGGTGGTAAGAGTGATAGCACAGGCCTTTCACGTTCTTTGTTGCTCTTCGTTGTGGTGCCTCGAACGCTTCTAGGTCGCGCTTCAACCGAGATTACCAAACTTGGATTGCGTATTCAACATGCGGGCGCACGTAGGGATTGTGCATCATTGGGAAGATTGATGGGTCAAATCTCCCGAATGCCCTTCGCAGCATGCCGACGTGCTGGTTGCCTCTTTTCCCAGCTACCTCAGCCTGTTTTGAACAGTTGAGGTCGCTCTGTACGATCACATCAAGGTTGCGTTCCTGGGAGCTGGTCTACAATCTGTTTGTCCCAAGCAAATAGGTGTAGTTATGTCTATGGCGTAATTGTACAACGCGACATTTGTCTACGTTGAATGGTAGAGCGTTTTGAACTGACCAGTTCGACACCGTGTTAAGATCGCACTGGAGCCGTTCGTGGTCGCCTGGGCCTCTGATCCTTCGCCATATATTGATATCATTTGCAAAAATAGGAAATCGGAAGCAACTGATCTTGCCAAATCGTTAATGAACACCAAGAATAGACGAGGTCCAAGAAGCGAGCGTTGTGGTACTCCACACGCCACATCGATTGCATCAGACAATGATTCTCGGACTCTCACCACTAGCCGTCGTTCGTGTAGAAAATTGCCAATCCAACTCAGGATCGGGTCTCCGATGCCGTAGTTCCGAAGCTTCTGAAGGAGAATTCGATGATCTAAGCGATCAAACGCTTTTGAAAAGTCCAGGTAGATGACATCGACTCCTATTCCATCATCAACAGCTTCAGTCCAGCTATTACGTGCAATTAATAGGTTAGTATTACACGAACGCTTTTGACGAAAGCCATGTTGCTCTGGGGCTATTAAGTTGTGGCTTTCCAGAAACTGCATCAGCGCATCTGCGATGATTTATTCCATCAATTTGGATACTACGGGAAGTAGTGTTATTGGACGGTAGTTGTAAGGATAAGTGCGGCTACCTCTATGGATAGGAGTGATGACTCCACGTTTTCATACTGGTGGGATATGGTTCTCTTCTAAACATCGCTGATAGAAAACAGCCAGTGGTTCTGCTAGATCACTAGCTACCGCCTACAGAGCCTTTGGTCGGATGTTGTCGACTCCAGGAGAACTGTGGATACGCAATGATAACACCTTCAACACAGCTACCGCAGTGAAGGTGATGTTTTCTAAACCAGATGGTGGAGTATTAGAAATGAGGCGAATGTTTGGGCTCGTTACCTGCTGGAAAGTTTGGGAGTAAGGAAGCCGTAGGAGATCAGCTGCTTCCATTGCTGATCGCATGCACTCATCAGCAGTGACTAGTGCTGGAACCCCTCGCTTTACCTTTCGAAGGCCGTTAATGTGCCTATACAGGAGTTTGTGGTTAGTGCAGAATCGCTTCATTAACTTCTGCTGATGCGTGACCTTGTCTTCTCGGATCAGTTTCACACAGAAGTTACGATGTGTCACGTATGCAGTCCAGGTTTCGGCATTTGAGCAGTCCTGGTGATCTCGCCATGCCAAATCTCTCCGGGACATACATTTACGTGTTCTGCTCCTCAGAAATGACTTATGCTTGTTTTGGGTTGGAAGAACTTCTGTTCCGATGCGTGCGCAACCAGTGTGCTAAACGTCCTTGTAAAGGTTTCCCAGGCAACATCTGGGGGGAATTCGGTTAAGAAAGTCCAAGATGTATCCTTAACAAGCTGAGATAACACATTGTAGTGCGTGACAGTATGCATTTTATCAACCTCCTTTTCAGGTTATTCCGCATAGCATATATAGTCAAAGAGTAGAGTAACATGATCACTACGACCCAGTGGTATGCTTGTAACTATCCCGTCAACCATGAATTCTTCGTTAGTTAGTACAAGATCCAGTATCGACGGCTTGTTTGTTGTTCGAAATCTGGTGGGAGAGGTTACGTGGTTACACAGAGAGTGGCTAGCAATTAGCTCTTGCAAGCAGGCTTTGAACTGCATACCGTCGGTTGCCGGTGTTTCTATGTCATGCACGTTAAAGTCTCCCGCGATAAGAATGTGGGTGTAGGACTTGTTCAAAGCAAACTGAAAAGCGTGGTTCGGTTTAGCGTCTATTTCCGATGTTGAGTTTGGTGGGCGGTAAATCACGGTTAGTAGACATGTGTCCTTGTTTCGTAACCATAGGTTGCATCAAAGTGAATCAGGAGCGCGGATTTTCGGGTGATCGACAACTTCACATCGGAGGTTTGTATGATAGTAAAGAATCACACCGCCACCCCTTCCGGTTCTATCGGTCCGAAGCAGCGACATACCGGGTAAATTGATCTCAGAATCTGTTATCTCAGCGTTTAACCAGTTCTCTGTAATCATGACGAGGTCCCGCGGTTGTGAGGCATGGAGTACTCTAAGTTCGGCCAACTTACTTAGAAAGCCCTGGGAGTTTGTGTACATGCAAGATAGAGCTTTTGTTGTTAGGAGTGCGTTGATGGATGTCAACTTTGTGTTAGTTTTTAAGCCGGCCGTTAGGTGGCCGGCCATTAATCATTTTTTGGTTTATGAATTTCAGTCAAGTTGCATGGCATTATTGAGCGTTCCTGAACAGACGTTTTACTCGTGCTGCGTTCTGTCCTGTTGCGTGCCGTGGGTGCTGTTGTGTCGGTCTCTCCGCAGGACTGTGCAAGTAAAGAATTTACTACGTTTGCAAGTTCCATCGAATTGCTTACGACTTTTGGCTGTTCGCCTGCTGCCTTTAGCCGGCTTTCTGTCGGAAACCTGGCTCAAAACTTTAACCAGTTGTGCAACAAAACTTGCGTCATTCCCTCTGTGTAATATCACTTTCATTCGCCTTGGACCGCAGCCGTTGTAGTTAGGTGATGACAGAACTCTTGTCAAGGATTTGGCAATAACATTGTCAACAGAGAATGCTTCGCAGATGTAGCACCACTGCTCTCGGTCATGTGTCTGCGCATCGTGATCAGAAGAATGCAGAAGCTCAGGAACACAATGAACAAATATTGTTTTCTTGCTATCCCTATTAGGAATGCCGCATTGCTCAACTGCTTCTTTTGAGCGATCTTTCCAAGATAGATCAGGTAATATGCATACTCCGCTCGGTGAGTTGCGAAGACGAACTGATGAGAACAGGACAGCCTCTGTCTCATCTGCTGATTCTAGTGTTACTCGAAGAATTCGAGGTTCACCAGAGTGCACTGAGGTCGTGTGACGCGCTACGCGTTGCAGGTTCAACCCGAATACCAATCGCATTGCAGATGGTACTCCACTGGTTGCGATCGTCTTGCAACTTGCCTTTTATTGTGCCAGATTTGAATTCGGGAACATTGGTGCACACGAGAGTTAACGCAGCGTGGTTTTGTCTAGCGAGTGTTGGCTTTATACTATTTGCCGGCAATTTGGGTTTTTTAGCAGGAGTTGACGGTGAAAGCTGCTTTGCACCACGCGAGCTCGGTACAAAAGATGGGCCTGTATGTGTCGCTCCCGGTGTGTTTGTCGAGGCAATTGTTGCGTACGTTACCTGCTTGTTATCTGCACCAGATTGCCTTCGGCTCTGAGATGTCGGTGTCATGGCTGAATCTCTAAGTGAAGCGTCTATGGTTGGAGAAGTGGAAGCAGGCATGTTTGAGGCTTGTCCACTTATGGGAGTGAGGTGACCCAGCGGATTTCGAGTCACAGACGCTGCAGTGCGGTTGGGGCGTCTAGCTCTCTTCTTCGGCTTAGATTCAGAGCTTACTTTGGCTGGGTGAAGTATTATCGTGGCCATATTTACCTCCTTGGGATCGATCTTAGTATTTATAAAATGGGCGATTATCTCAGTCATCCTATCGCACTTTTTCATGGGCAAAGACAAACAGTTGACAACTGGAATGACTTGACATGTTGCGCAAAACCAAATTGGGTCAGCAACTTTGTTTCTCTGTCTCACTTCTTGGACGGATTTGCCTACACATTGCGGACAGTACGATCTAATTCAGCTAGAACAAGTTACACTGATCTTAAGAACTTTACTGCAGTTGTCTGCGCAATATGGACGACGTTGAACCATTGGAATGCTACTCGTCCTCTTATTGGTTACAGCAAGGCCTATCTAAGCGCTCACCTTGATGAGGGTTCTCTGTTCCACGCGTGAAACACAAACAAGCCAGAACACGCATACATAAGCCCGTCATCCCTGCGACTGACGAGCATGTCTAAGAAAGGCCGAGTACGCTCAGAAAATGAGTAGTATACTCAACGACAGGAGCAAATTTGAACGACTTAATATGATGGAGAAAACTTTAGTTAGTCGTGCTAGACGAATCCACTCGGCTGATTGTCTAGCCAACAGGCTGGAGTTAATTACAACAACATTCATCGCAAACGGTTATCCCCGTAGGTTTGTAGAGAAACACAACCAACAGCGAGGCCCGAAGGATCTGGTGCATACAGTAGCGAAGAAAAAGTCTATTTCGGGTTGCCTTTCAAGGGTGACTTTACTGTATTGAAAACCACGAAACGTTTAATCTCTGCTAAGCAGAGGTTATTGTGCTGCTCAGGTTGTGGTCATCAATAGAACCTGTAACTTGCCGGTGCCTCCAACGAAGGAAGCTCAACCGATAGCGGCCAACTCTCATTGCATATGCAAATTCGTGTACGATTGCGGAGACAGTTACATAGGCAGAATCAATCGGCCTTTGACTTCCCGAATAAAGGAACACGTGCCAAGGTGGGTTCAAGGTGAAATTGACCAGCATCCCTGTCCCACTGAAGTTTTGTGCTTGCTCAAGCCGTCGGCTTCCTCAATAGATAAATATCTACTGACTACGCGTCACCGGATAGAGCTCGGATCAGCGTTCGCACTTGTATTACCTCACTCTAATCCCCGCTTCCTCCGTCTCGCCGAGGCCGCTGCGATAAGCCGGATGAAGCCCGCCCTGTGTGTTCAAAAGCAATTATTTATCAGACTGCCGTGGACATAGGGGTGGAACTTCCGTCATTGATTCTGCACCTTATGCTTATTCGGTCAAACGCATAGTTAAGTACATGGTTGCATGCCGATTATTGTTAATGGTATTGAGGGGACAATACGAAATGCATGCATCTACCAGCTTTCGTTTTCTTACCGTGCTTCTCAAATATTGAGTTCGAAAATACTGAGTCCATCTGAAGAATGATTTGACTGGATGGCTCAGTCCGTGGTCATGTACGGAAGCAGGTGGGGTTGTGGCAGCGTGATTTCATCTCTTCTGTTCAGTGGTTGCTCATGATAACTGTAACGACACGACCATATTCCTTTGGGTACACAAGTTTGAACTGGCTAATCTTATGCATAGTCTCCGAAACTGTGGATCCGCTGTCACATGAACAAGGTAGGAACTTTGCATTGTCTAGCATAAGCCTAAGAGGCAACGGCGTTTAACAATTGCCTCGGTCAGGTGCATTACACGATGCAAAACACAAAACAGAAGACAGAGGTAAAAAACGGGCTTCCATAAGAGTTTATAGAAAGTAGTTTGGCCAGCGCTTATCTGGATTACACATGGAATTTTCGAAGTAAGTGGGGTGAAAAAGAGTTTGTGAGAGAGAAGGGATCAAAGGCAGATATCAGACGGGCTGAAGAGAACTGCAGGAGGCCCAGCAGGATGTGTACAATTGAACAATGATGATTACCAAAAAACAAATAAAAATTGACAGGAAATGTTGTCCCAGATGTGCCAGCCGGCAGTAGGGCGGGGATATCACGCGTTAATTTTGTGCTCAGGATGATGAGTATGAGTATGAGGCGCGACTGTGAAGTTAGATACAAATGAGTAATAAGGACGAGGCTCATTGTCTTTACCTGCAGAAGAAGATTTGTTGGTGGCGAATACCAGACGGTAGCCTGTGTGGTGGATGGAGTGCTTGGCGATTCGAGCTACCTGACAATTCGTTAACAAGCGAGGAACAGTGAGTGATAAAACCTTGAGATTGAAGAGGTGGGAAACGATAACAGAAGACAGCGTGTGTTAGGAGGTGGTGGGTTGGTTCGATGTACAGTCGGAGGGAAGACAGAATAGATATGGTGAAGAGGCGAAATATTTACAATGTGAAACGCAGCCTATATTAACAACTTTGTACAAGAAGACAATGAAAGGACGTGAACAGAGATGTGTGTGAAAAGACAAATAACGCGACTATTTTTGGTACAGAGGAGATAGCAACCAACGGTAGCAAGCGGTTGAGTACGCGCGCTCAGGGACTTGTGTGCATGGGAGAAAAGTAAGTGATCGCAAATTATCATCAGTTTGGAAAGAAATGTACGCGACAGGCAATCATTTGAAGTTGTGTTCGTTAAATCGCCCGGGAGGAGCCGCATATTGACCAAGTGGCAACAACTGAGACTAGAAATCGTGGAAGTGTATGGTAGAAAAGTGGCCCAAAAATGAAAGCGGAATGACTTTCAGATCCAAAAACAGAATTGATGCAAACAAAAATGAGGAGATCCGGAGGACTCAGGGTGAACGGCAACAGTGACAGAAGGAGCGGGCTATTTACAATTCCAGGTAGGACTGGGGGGTCATTTGCGAATCGGAGTGTGAATGAGATTAACGCTTCCGCTGCCTTGATTGGCCCGTGCCATCACTGTTGGCTCCTATTGCTCCTGAGTTCCCATCGCTATTGTCAAATCCTTGACTGTCATCCGCGGTGGCAGGCTGGAGTCGAGTCGAATCGACAGAGCTATCTGAGCCTGAACGACTGTGATCCTGAGCTAGTTGTTCGATGCAGCAACGATTCCGGGCCACCTTTTGAGCTACGAGGGTGTTCAACTGCGGAGTCGGTTTCAGTTCCAGTTCCACTAACAGAGCGAAATGATCTGACGGAAAGTGAACATGTGGGCATCCAAGTATTTTTCTCTCAGTGAACCAGGATTCGTTTATTTGATCCAAGCTGCCCAACAAGCGGAAGTGGTCACGAGAGTAGAGGACGTAATCGATCATACCTTTGAATTCGTACCTGGAAAGTGATGAGGCAAGGGTGATGTGTGTTAGTGTAGACGGACATAAACCAATTGGTCTATGTCCAAAAAAGAGTAATATGTACTGAAATATGGAGAAAGCATCCAGGACAGTTTAAAAACAAGCTGACCCATGGAGCAAGCTAGATCCAACGAGAGAGACATTGGACTTGGGGGAATAAGTGTGTTATGCAGAGTCCATGAGAAAGTAAGCCATGTGCACACAAAGTTGAGAAACCACGTGGGTTTTCGGAGGCCGATGTGCAAGCCATTAATGGTAAGTTCCGTTACACTATTGCCCGAACAGCCAACTGCAGGCGACCCAACTACAGCAGCTCATGCCGACGCGATGATAAAAACTAAATCGTAGGAGTGATTTGGGGACATGATTGGGACTGCAATGCGATGACCAACACTCTTTACAGTTAGCACTTACGTATAGTTTGTCATCCGCATCCCTTGAGATTCACGGTAAGCGCGATCGAAAGTGAATCGGTGCCGTAGTATATCCCCATCCACTGCCCACTTTTCTAACAACCGCCAGTCCTCAAACATGTACTTGAACCCATTGTTGAGAAAGTCAGTGTGTGTTTTGGGCAAACTACCTCGCATGAGAAACTCCACTACTCCGGAATCGGGTAGCGAATTCAGATCGCCACACAGAATGACGGGCATATGCGCAGCCGGTGAGAATGGGCTTGGAGTTGGGAGACGCAACGACAAAGGAGTATTACGTGAATCTGTTGGAGAGCTGCGTTCTGTATTGTCCGCCGAGCCTGTCAAATACTGGTCAATGTAGGCCCATAATTCAGACGTCCATAGGATAGTTTGTATCATCTTTACATCCGAATGTTCTGGGTCCCAGTGAATGTGTCCCGTAGTGACACAGAACTGACGCCCGCCAATGCCGTCTGATGCTGAGCGGATAGAAAGGGAGCGACATGCCGTGGAATAAAGTACGGTATAATATACGTCACGAGCCATGTAGCAGAGAAATACCACAAATGGGCTGTATGCTGCAATGAAATCTGGTCGACCCCTCAGTGGTGGGGTAAACCGTATTATTTTCATGAGAGAATACATAGCCAATCGGTTGTACTAACTGCGACCCGGAAAAATTCCCGAATGTGGATTGAAGAAGCAGTTACATTAGTGAGTTGCATGCGAACACAATGTACGGGAGTTTATCTAGCACCCAGGTGATACACATAAAACATGGCACATCATTTCAAAAGAACAGTCAGTTTAGTTCTGACCCAGTTCCGTCAGGCCAAGTGAACAAGCATGACATTTGATAGCAAACTCGGACGACAATTGCGACAGTGTAGGTGTGAGTCGAGTCATAATTACCTCTACGGATTGGGGTGCCATCCCAAGCGGCCTAATTGGTATGAAAAGATCCCAAGCAGTTCATGGTGCTTGGTATTCAAACGTAACCTTATGATGATGGTGAGGACCTCCAACCCCAGTCAGTACGCCAAAGGTACTCGTAATGGTGGGTTACGGGTAGCTCACCACGGGTTAATGACTAAGATTTGCCCATTCTGACCAATTAGCTAGAACTTTTGTACTCAATCTACGAGGGGACGCTCGAAATCGTATGCTAGTCGATTTCGTGTCGAATGTGTACCACTACCGCCCCACATCCTAGTATGCTATATGGGGGTGGGGTAATAAGAAAACACGAATTACGCGTTCTACAACTATCCTTTTTTATACGGTCCATGTGTATGCGAGCATAGTCTTGGTAAGTAAACTTGTGCATGCAGTCCGTTGCTTTATCTGTAGGAAGCAAGTACCTCAAAAGTCATACTGTAGGACAGAGCTTGGACCTTTCGCAAACCTCCCTCATCTTTTCTCCCTATTCAACTCCAATCGAGATCGCTTCTGAGCTTCCGTCATACACACATTCTACTTCTCAGATTGTGGGGTGAAACCTCATGAACCGCAATGCTTATCACCAAGCAGCCTAACTGCACTCTGTTTCACACACGGTGAATTATGTTGTCTCGTTCATCGTGATCGCTCAAGAGGGGAAACATCCGGGTTGTAAGAAACCGGACAGGCCAACCGCATAATGAGGGGTGTGTGGGGGGGAGGGTGGACACATACCTGAGGAGCCCTTTGTTTGAAAAATCACACCGAGAGCCACGTTGTCTCTGATCATCACCCGGTTGAGCATGAGCGGTGTCGGGTTTTCGCACATGTTCGAACACGAAAGCATGAACTCGTGATGAAACTCGTGCAGTTTCTCAAACCTGTAAGTGGTTAGGATGAGAATGAAAACGTCATAGTGAAACAACGGAGACAAGAGGGTCAGTGTTGCATCTAAGGAGGGTGAGAAAGATATGCTCCAAGCGATAACGAAAGCATCAAGGTGTGCAATATAACCGAGTAATCTATAAGTGACATACGAGACACATCAGAAAGTGAGGTTAATCAAGGGATTCGATGAAATACAGTGGGTGAGTGAAAAACAAAGAATAAAAACCCTCCATTGGATTTGGAGGACAAGTAAAATGGTTGATTTAGATTAACCGGGGGAACCGGAGAAGGGAATTCAAAGCCGCAAAACACAAAAATTGGGATGAGGGTGAACTGTGGCTGAATTGCATTCCACAGCTTGCGTCTCCGTTGATGACGGGAAATTGAGAACGGCTGCAGTACGGAGGGTAAGTAAAACATACGAAAATCAAATTGAACTGCCAGCGGGTAACAAAGACGATAAAAACTAGAGTAAAACGGCTATACCTTTTGCAGACCAACTGCATCCATAACGCGTTCAAATTCCTCGTTCAGGAAATCATGTTCCTCCGTAGATCTCTCAAGATAGCCCATAACGCTATCAAGTTGCATCCAACGGGAGTAAGAAATCTTGAGAAATGCATAATATTCGTGGACTAGCCGATCCAAAATCAACCGATAGCATAGCAGATGAGTACACAGAGTGGAATGCTATTGGTTGGTTTGGGATTGTTCTCTCAGAAGAGTACATGCAGGGTCGTTTGAACCCGTTGCAACTTGATAGCGCTAATGACCACTTAGAGAGCTCAGTACAGGAACATGGTTTTATTAAGGAGGAATTTGAAAACGCTATGGATGCATTTCACTGAGAAAAGGTGTAGGTACACTCTCGCATAGAGCGTGACGTTTGGGGACTAAGATGTTACTATCTCAATGAATCAAAAAAGACCGAAGAAACAGGGTACGAATCCCGCATTAAGCAAATCTAAACCGTATGTGCGGTTAATAACTGTGGTGTATCACGAAGCCACACAATCCGGAGAGATACCATATAACAAAGGAATACAAAAGCACGGGCGTAAGAAGATGTCTGTCGTTAATCGTGCGCGGGACGAAAGACCACAACCGGGTAGAAAAAAGGCAACAAGACTAGGCGGCCAACGTGAAACAACAGGACAGCATGCGAGATATAACTTCGTTCCGCCACTCGATAATAACAGACAGGCGTGCAACTCTAACGCGTAATTTAAGTTGCAATGGTTATGACTGCATGCCGTGTCACACCCATGCTGAGTCACACGGGCCTCCACCCAAAAGGACGCGGTGAAGAGTCATGGACACCTATGCAACTGGTAGATACCCCCCTCATCTGGCCTTCATAAGTAGCCACCAGCTAGACAAGTTGGCGAGATTAGCCAAATGCTGCTTAGAAAGTGAGTGTGTGATTCCGACAAAAATTTATGTGTGATGATCACAATTGTCCGAGTTGCCTCATAGATGAGACGATCTAGTGGGCATTATTAACAGGAAACTGAGAAAAGTCGCAACAACCACGCTTGCTGTCCCGGTTGAAGAACAAACAGTCTAGAGATGTGGCTTCTTTCCGCGATATCGATTCGCCGATTCCTGTGGGGCGGAGACTACGTCGACCACACTACACGACGCATGTCTGAAAGTAGCAGAGAGCACCGAGTAGCGGTCCAATGAAACCTGTTTCAAAAGTGATAGCTCCACACCTGGCTGAAACGAGTGCAACGCACTCGTGTTTCGCTGGCTACGCCCATCACATGAATCCGATCGTAGAAGGGCAAATGTTGTGACCTACCGGTTGCAGTGAAAACTGCGATCTGCGTTAACAGCTTCCGCCGTGTTTAGAAAAGCATTTCGTGAATAGGTATACTTCAATTTGCCAGCACCTGTAAATCCGGGTGCGCCCATGGCCGACTTATTCAAGGACACAATTGTGGTAATTGCTGAGAAAGGATGTGGCTGCGGGGCCGATGCAGCGGCGTTTGCTAGTGCAGGCTATTCATTGATTGATTTGGCTCTTCTAGATTGGAGATATTGCTGTGGACCAATACTCTGGCTCAGAAATGCATACAATAAGGAACATTCATAGGAAATTCCTATGTTACAGTTCCATGTAAACCCGAACTTGGGGCACAGAAACACGTGTGATTTCACCCATCGAGTCTGCAGAACTTAGACTGATATGCTCTGCCAACTGATGGTATTTTCTCCCAACGCTTAGCTTGGTACTCATAGATGTGATGTAAGTAACCGTTTAGTGGGTAACTGAAAATGAGTTCTGGGTGCATGCGCTGTTTGGAACTGAAAGGACTGCATAATAGATAATGAAACACTGTGTCTCTTCATGCGTCATGCAGAGACAACCGGACTAGATAGCAGAGTAAATACCAAACAGATCAGCGAAATTAAACGGGTTAAGGAAGCTGGACCAGTTTTACGAGACTAAGTAAGTAATTCGGAAGCAAGAGATAACCTTCAATACAATTAAAAATGGGTGCAGCGCGCCAGTCGCGGACTATGCACAAATATATCTTGGCTAGAAGTCCTCTGACAGCCAAGTTGAACAAATGTTGCGCTTTAGTATGTGTGAAATTGAATTATGTGATCAGGTTTATGAAAGCTGATGAATCACGCGCCAGGGGCTTGGGTTAGAATGAGAATGGTTTTCGGATTATATAATCATAACAAGGTGCTGGCAAATGCAATAACTTCGGTAAAAATCCAGAGATGAGTTCGCACATGGGAGAAATTGGGAAACAACGATTTCAATAGCCAAGAAGTACGTCGTGGCACGAAACCCCGTTCGCTAAAATGCGCTTACTTGTCAGTTTGCCAGAATATTGCGCACCCATCCACTTTTTTGCAATCCTTCATATCCATTGTGCGTCTTCTGCTCTTGGGCAGGAACACTGCATCGTATTTCAGCTTCTCCAACTCTGGTTTGAAAATCTCTTCAAATTGATTGGTTTCAACCTCCTAAGGAATTGAGACGGAGAAACGTGGAAATAAAGGGTATTCGCAATGACAGATAAAACCGCCAAGTATTTCGGCGTAAGATAAGGATGTAAAATGGCAGAGCCCAACAGAAGCAACGGGATGCGGAATCACTCTGAGACGCGTTTGATTTCCATGATCAAAGGTGCCTGTCTAATGCTTAACAAAGTTTAATTCGGTTCTGAATCAATTAAGTCTAATGAAAGAGGAATCAAGACAAATGCGCTGTACCTGAAAACGGCGCATCACTGGCGTCGATGAGCCGTGGCGCAAAACGGTGCCCTGTGCTAATGCCCCTATGTACACGCATCGGTGATGAAAATAGTTCCCATAGCAATTGCCAAGTGTTGCCTCCCGACAACACATTCTATAACGCGTTCTGTTCCTGTTTGGACTCGGCGAAAGCCTGAGCGGTCAATGGGAGATTTAAGCGAATAACTGTGATACACCATATTCAAGAATCGCAGCGAAAGAAACGAGCCAGTATCGATGGCGGTATAATGGATAGTCTGCAAATGCCTTGAGCGCTGTCCGAAAATAAGAAAGAAAAGAGCCCGTAATTCGTACAAACACTTTGCTGACACGCAAACCACAACAGTCGCGTGTGAGCTAGGGGGATAACATGAGGTCACCCACACGGGTTCGAACCGGCGATTTGCGGGGTGCAAACCAGGTGTCTGAGTCGATCGGCCACCGGCCGCAATAACAAGCAGTGCCACGTGTGATGGATTGGAATGGTCTCCAAAGATTAGTATTGGCGTATTCGACAAATATGTAACATATTTTTAAGAACGAAATTCCATAAAATCGTTCGTACACTTTAGACGGTGATGTTTTAACCCTACTTCACTGTACGATTATGACCAGCTATGATAGCGGTAAGTGTTAGAGAACTTCGTGGAAGGAAAAGGGTCAGTTTAATGAGGAGATGAGCATGGACGGTGGGACACATATGTGAAATAGACCTTCGTACCGAATGGCATCAAATACCCCAGAAGGGGCGGTTTGTCACCAGGCTGACGATCGACCGATGGAACTTCATCATCATACTGACAGCGGATAAGAAGAATGTTCGCGGCTAGCATTCGTTTGTCTGTACAAACGCCATGAGCATAATAAGTTACTTTCCAGTGTGCGTATGTTGACAGTAGTGATACGCCATGTATATGGGTTCACCGCACACGGTCCACCTGCATAAATCATTCTTTAGATCCAGAACCAATACATGAAAAGAACAAAGTGCATGTCTAGTTAGAACAGCTGCCAACTGGATAGACGTGATAAGTACGATGTGGCAGAGTGCCAAGAGTGAAAACGCCTTAAGTTTAGTCAGCTCAAATAAAAGGAGACGACCACGGTGATTGTATTATCCGACTAGCATGAGCGCAGTCATCCTGGCAGAGTTAAGTGCGAGTGTTGAAAATACCGACGTGAACAAATGTAAACGCAGTGAAGCGAGAAGTGATTGAATGGAACCGTACCTGCAAACAAATGATATTTGCATGGTACATTCGTATCTCATCTAGAATGAATCGACGCCTGTAGTCCCAGTTGAGCGCCCACGTTGGACAGTAAGGATACATGGTGGGAGTTGCGTAGTTCGGGCTCAGCAAATTGTAGCACATTAGGGTGAAGGGAACTGAGTATGAGGAAAGAAAAAAGAGGCATTCTGATGCAAAGCGGAAGAATCAGGCTTAGAGATTCTGGTTGATACATTTCTACTCAGAACATCGCAAACTATTTCAGCTGAGGAGAACCGAAACTCACATCCATCTTTGCTCAATTCCCCCAATTTTCGCCACTGCCTTTGAGGAGGGGCGTTGTTGAAATCTGAAAACGGGGACGGAAAGTGAGGTAAAAATAAGCCAGGGTTCATGGAAAAAAGCGCGAGGAAACACAGCAAAAAATTTTAGGTTTGTTTACGGTAAACGATACGACAATGGCGTAAATGACTGCACAGGCAGTCTAATAAAGTGTTTGAGCAAATACTTGGTGAGTTCATACGAGGCAAAAAGTAGTCAGTCGTTCAGGTAAACGTCATGGCACTGGAAAGAGTACTGAAAATGGTGGTATATGGAGAAGCAAAGTAGACCACGTGATTCAAAGTCAGGTGTGCATCTTCTTTGCTAGGGTAGCGCACTCGAGGCATGCTCTCCTAGGGGCTGTTCAGCAGCAGAAAATATCGACCAACTGATAGATCAATCGCCAATTCACAAGTCGTTAATGGTGAAAGAAACGCTGTCCCCAATTGATCGACGGGATTGAAAATCCGGTGACAGACCGAACAATGCCAGGGCCTCGTGATAGTCAGTAGGTCAGAGAACCAGCAAGTAGGCAAGCAGGCAGGCGAGAGAAGAGCACGCGATAAGCCATTAAGGAAAGGCGGACACACCCTTGGACAGGCGAACTGGAAAGCAATGACCATGATGGGATTCACAACACTGGACATTGATTTATCGGTAGAAGCTTGGGTAAGTTATCGGGAGGAGGATGTAGTGTGACGTCAGATGCAAATGCAGGATAAGAACAAAAAGCAGACGCGACTAGACTTGGATCAGCGTTAGCCACGTCAAATGAAGAGCGGCGAAACGAGTTTGGGGACTACTAGAGCGCCGCATAAACGAGATCGATTCATAAAGTTAGGAAAAATTTCATTCAAAGAATGAGCGTTGGAAAACGATGCATCGCGGAAACAATGCTACCTTGTCTATAGGACCGAACGATCGCATCGGGTAAGCTTGCGTTTCCATCCTTAACGACTGAATCCTCGTTGACACAATAAAAGTGGAAAAATTTATCGGCAGTACATCAGTAAGATGTACCGATGTTCCACTGTCGTGCAATCACGAACGGTTGTACAAAGATTGCCAGAAACTGCAAAGGCACAAACTTATGCAGTAGGAGCGGGGATTGGAACCCAGGACGCCTGAAACACTACAGCGCTTTCGTATACATAGAGTCTAAGCAATGTATGTAGACTGCATGCAAATATGAGAAAAGTGTACAAATTCGTGTTATATAGGGAGGCACGTTCTGCGACGGTGAACCGTCAGTGACCTTCATGACAGGGTCTCTTACCGAAGTGCGGAGCAGCCCAGAGTGAGCGATGCTCCAAAGAAGACGCAATTGCAGACTCGAGCAAACAGTCGCAGGCAAAGGTGATCAACCGTGAATAGCAGCAGTAAAACGGTAGATATTAATGCATACTGCAAGTGCAGTGATGACACGCTCCATGGCGCTAGTGATTTACTTCTTTATGTGCCAAAAGATACAAGTTATACAGTAGATTAGTACTTGATTACTTTACAAAGAGTGAACGAATGGTTTACCATGCTCAGAAATAGAAAGAGGATTAAAACTTTCCACACCGAAGGCAAAGCATGATGCCACCAAACTCTTGCAAATGTACACAGAGCGCAGATCGGGCTGAGGTAAGTGTAACGATGTGATGACTTCATGGACCTGTGCCCACATGTACCCGTTCTATATGAGTGAGGGCGATTCCACGAGTAAAATCAGAGCGGTGTCTTGATTAACCATTATTGGGGAACAAACCGATTGCGCCAGTTTCATTAATCAAATCAATGGTGGAATGCGTACCAGAAACCAGATGACGACCATGCATCAAAGAAGCAAACCACAGGTGCCTTACCATGGCTCTATCTACTCACTTCATAATCGGCGCGAACCGAAAGTGAATGGATGCTAAATAGCTGGAGTTAGTTAACACTCGTGCTACGTTCCACAGCTTGGACGATTAAGGATTTAACTAAGACAGCAGTGATTCGACCGACTAAAGATGAGAAAATGATGGGTGAAATCCATCACTGCTATACAGAAACAAACGAAGAGTTTGTTGTGGACAAAACCAGTAGCAACCGCTCTTGGGGTGTAACGTGGAGAACGGAAACGGATTAACAAGTGAGCACCGAAAATCAGAGGTACGAATTCAATGACCTATGAAAATGTAGCAACGGGACAACGACAAATGAGTGACGGGTGCCCTGTGCCACCATTCGAATAAAAACCCATGAACAAAACATATGAGAAGGAACCTCGTTCCCGACAGACTTACAATTTTTAAGCTCATAATGAGGAACCACACAAGTACGCAATGCGTTACAAATGTCTCGTGATCGCATTACACGAATCGGTTCAGGGATATAGACGTAGCCACTGGGTGGTAAGGCATTCATAGGAGGAGCAGCAGAGGTGGAAGGACGGTGTACACAGGCAATATCAGAGGCACTAAAGTGACCACAATGACTTGCGGAGAGATTCACGGGGGGTGAATGAACACGATAGACCCAATCCAAATCAACAGGATGGTCCACTACAAGGGAGTCACATTTGGGTGCGAGAACAAATGTATGAGCTTGATAAACCGGACCGGGGCAATTATACGGGGAGCCAGACGGAGGCACGGAACAGCAGCAACACAAATCCACGAAGCGATCGGCAGACAGGGTTCGAGAGTGCATCTGAGCGCAGGTAGAGCTGACGCACGAATAACAGGAGCATGAGTGGCTACGGGAAAGAGGTCTGCACGAGGGATGCGACCAAACAAGTGGATTGATGTGTGCAGGATGAATGTAACCAGTCCGACACGTGGGATATTCCCAGTAATTCGTAAACGGATAATGATGCTGAATGGGTGGTGCTGTTGGAAAGACACATTCGGAGTAGGGTGGTGGTGGAGACGACGGTAAAAAGCTTGCAGTATGGTCACCGTGTTCAGTCGTAAAACCGGAAGTGCGTTGATGCACACCTCCCGAAGATATTTCGCTAGGTGAGTGGTGCTGACTCGAAGTTGGCACACTGGGGCCATTGAACCTTCTAGTGAAAGCTCGTGGATGAGTGACAACCTCGCTGACCGGAGGCAGCCTCTCAACTGATACGGTAACGTCATATCCTGTCAGATCCACGTAAACACCAGGACAGGTTACATCTGAGTGAGAGGGAGCTGACCGGCTGCACGGAATATAGACGATACTATCAGCCTGGTTGGTCGAGGAAGAAAGTGTGTAAGGAATCCAGGTGGAGTTGAGAGCACAATGGTGCGATGAAGTGTGTGGGAACATGGTGGCCGGAACAGGTGCACTTAGTGAGGATTTGAGATTAGAAACACTATCGGAGTGTGAGTAGCAATGAAGTTCAGTGGAACGGGTTGAAGATTCAGCATGAATAGATGGCTGTTCCCTTGCTGCACGTGCAGAGACAACAGAGTAGCTCTTGGTCGTGACACAAGTCTCAGAGTTGAAAGATGGGTAAGTGGTCGTAGTTGTGACCGCATGAAAGGTGTGATCATCCGAATGATTTTTGCCAGCTGCTATTGCATTCCTAGATGGAATGGGCCAAGGGATTAAGCTGTTGCTAGTTGGACTCAATGTTGTTCGCCACATATTCCGGCTGTTTCTAACCTGAGAATTCACTGCACTCGTATTTGTAGGACTTTGGGGCAGACTACTAAAGAATTGATCCTTGTGCTCGCTATTATTAACCAAATCCTGAAGGAACCTTTGATGAGATTTACGTCCGGTCATGTGCCACGGTAAGCGATATTTGGGAGTGAATTTGAAAATTGGTGGCAGACGCATGAGTAACCGTGAAAGCCTGTCGATGGGTGCAACTGGGAACAGGAGACATACTAAAAGGTGCATACTCGTGGGCAGGAGGGTGGATACCAACGATGCGGATTCGGAGAAACAACTTGAACGATCGACACGGCCGGTGGGGTCAAAATTAAGTTTCTGCACTTTAGTATCACAGAATGACCCATACTGCAAGCAAGACATACAGTGAGGAATCCGTCGAGCCGGGGCCGCAATACATCTGCTTTTTCCAAGGGCCGGTACGAAAGGAAGCAGGCTGCTTTTTCCACAGAACGATAGGGTATGTTCCGTATCGTATCTTTCTGAGACTGCAGAGCGAACGCACGCTGCAACAGATTCAATAATTACGTTTGACTGATGGAAATCCGCAGGTTTCTCTTTCTCGCAACTATACGTGGCAGGTTTGGTGATTAAGTTAGAAAAGAGTTCTGGATGGTATGTCACTAGAGAAGTCACAGTTGGCAAGTGATGATCATGTGAGTCCACTCCAGGAAAGTTATCCAAGTACCCATGTGGATCACAACTTGTAACACTCAGGACGGCCGGTGCGGTGTTCACGTGACGAACGGTGCAACGATTGCAATCGTGCAATTCAGACTCCGTGTCTTCTGCAAGAGACAAGCTGTGCTTCTGTCGACATGCGTCGTCCTTGTTTGATATCGTGCACTGGACGGCGTGTGTGCAGTGCGAGGAGATGCACTCGGACCTCTGGTTCCAAACGACTTGTGCGTTGTTTGGCAAAAAAACCTCTTCATCGCTCGAGGAGTTGTTGCAGTCGTCTGTAAAATCGGGATGATCGGATGCAAACGCTATTCGATCGAAGAAGGAACAGTGCGCGGGAACTTCCAAAAGAGGAGAAGTGCCTTCTTGCACTTGAGGAGAACCGGGCCACCAGCCCAGTGGGTTGAAGGTACCGGGACAAGATGATCGATTTGTAGGAGGACTGGATTGAAATGAGCCATTGTCTGGATGATCGAGAGATTCAGAATCATCAATGTCACGTTTTGGTTCAGAAGCGATTTTCAGCGGCATGGGTCTTCGTCGCCTGCTGCGGGGATTCGCTCCGGACGAATAGGAAAAGTGACTGCTGTGTATGTTTGATTCATGCATAATCACTAGAGTCCAATAGTAGATGAAGGCTTGGTGTGAGTTTCAGGTTGTAAGGAAAGCTCAGGAAAATCCTAGACTGACCGACGACAACGGCAAACAGGAGAGAAGCGCGATGCGGAGAGTTTCGATACACAAGGCGAATATTGTGTATGAAGTGAACTGACGCAACCACTTTTGGAATAATAACATATCGGTGGATTCTAATCCGTGTGTGGTGTGCGTCGACAAGCAAACAGGACTGAGCATAGTTTGCACGCTACTGGTTGGCTGGCCCAATGGACTCAAAAAGCAGAACAACCAATCAAACACAAAACGAAATTGCCAATCACTATGATGCGTGACGGACTGCTTTGGCTAATCAATGAAAATAAATGAAGCCAGACTAATCACATTCAGGATTAGGGATAACGATAACAGCTCACGAGGTGTATGATCAAGTCAATTAAAACCATTTGCTCAGTGAATGATCAGACTAATGAGTTCGATAGATCAAGTGGTGTATAGTTGGCATTACGTAAAGCGCTTAAAATGAGTTTCACTTGGATGTCTGGAATTGGTCGACTGGCTAACTTCCGTCGCAAATAAATTGCCAATTGAGTTTTTAACCCTCTTAAGATAAGTGAAAAGGAGCAACGATCAGCGAATTCTAACCGAACCAACCTGTTCCTATAAAATTTGGAGAAACGTGCCAGCTGTTACGGCGGCCGATCCAGGGTAATTTGAAATCAATGTCAACTGTTTCGTAAGCCGACTATCGGAAATAACGTGCGAATCACAATCAAGGTGCTGTTGTTTCGATGACACATCAATAGCAAACAGGAAGATTATTTTATTAAGGCTTAAAAATGAGTACATCAGGCGTACTCCGAGATTCGGTTAGATTTAGAGTGTATGAAATGAGACACTGAATCATTTACTACAGAAACCCACATTTTCTCAGTCCAGAACCCTCAAGGGTGAAACCGATAACTTTGCTTTCGACTATGACAAAAGGGGGTGTTGCTGCGTAAAACGCTAGTAGGACCACGCGGGAGTTCGACGAACTAGAATCGAGAAGAAAACTCCTTGCGGATTCAGAGCACAATTTACCCGGACGGACCGTTAGGCGCGAACAAAAGCGGAGCCTGTTTGCTAACAACGAAGACTAGTGGACTAGTAGTGTTCAAAAATGTAGGACATAGGAGCAGTAGGCAATTATCAAAAGCTCTTCCAACTGATCCACACCACTGGTTCTGGGAAACAAAGGTTCAATGAGCCAATTAGAGAAAGTGAAGACGCATTAATTCACGATAAGGTACGCCGGCTGGCTCGCTGTGCGGAGCACTTTCGTGAGCAGTTGAGTTGGCCCCTTGTTCATGGGTCACTTTCTGCTCAGACGGAACTATGACCGATTAGTTTAGAGCAATCTCAACCTGGGGGTAATTACCCCAAGGGGGTAAAACGGCATTTTACGGCGGTAGATATAAGCACGAGGGTTGCGTCATCAAACTACCGCCAAACAAAAGCAATAACAAAGTCATCTGTATCAACAAATTAACTAACAATGTAATCACTTAATTAGCCAGCAGTGACTAATCATTAGTGGGTTCAGTTAATTAAGCAGCTTTCAATAATAAACTTTATTATCTAATCTACGAATGCAAATCTGCAATGCAGCGCAGCTAGATGGCACCTTTATCGGCTGGCTCGACGATCGTTGTTCTTTTGAGTCAGGCAGTCGATCGCCGGATCGAAGTAGAGAGCTGAATGAACCCTAAGGTGGGAGCATAGGTCAGTCAACTAAGTAAGGGAGCAAGCGAATGTTTACAAGGCAGAAGGCACAAAACAGGCGATTGGTGTACAGAACGTATGAGTACACAGTGGTGGTGGGAAACTGTCATTCAGGAGGGATTTGGGAGGGATGGTTGAAACAAATGAGAAGCCACTGGCATCTGTCATCAAAAACAAGGAAACGAATGAAATTGGAGCACAGCGCACAATATACGTTAGTATAAAACCGCACTAAATATACCATAAATTGTTGGAACTAAGCAATATCAACCGCCTCAGTAACTTACATAATCGCTTGTTAATAAAACATTGCTCAAAATAGGTGTCTTCCTTATTGGAATGATATAGTAATTAAATGTAATATTCATTTTCCGTAAATTAGAGAAAAAATGCAGTAATTGATTGGTTTTACGAACAACAACATATTTGGGGGGGAGGCAATTGTTTATAGTGAACCCGCTTTGAGGGTAACAATCATAAAAAGGTTGGCATTCACTGGTTTCGAGGGTACATCGGACACTGAGGTTCTCAATCGCTTTCGAGTTGTTGGTCCGGATTCCCATGCACCCTAACTACTTTGGGTGGTGATTATGTCCTCTGCAAAGCACCGATCTCCCTAGTTGAACAGATCTAGAAGGGCCCATGCAAGCATATTCGGGTGAACCGATCGTAGGGACAATATACAAGAAAGGCTGTCGCGTCGACTGTGCTAACCACAGGGGTAGTAGCAAAACGCCAGTAGTGACAAATGAACTAATTTAATTTCTCATCCGTCGCCTCAATGTGTAACCGGAATCCTGAATTAGGGTAGACCATGCAGGTTTTCTACAAGAACGAGGCTGCACTGGCCATATATTCACTTTGTTTAAACAGCGTCATAGGCACCGCAGACGGACAATGGCTGTAGTTGATTACTAATGAGTAGACGGATTTAGATATGATTTTGTTTGAAGGGTGGAGGATTTTCGTCCTTCTTTTACTATCAGTAATAGCGTGAAAGGGCTGCCCTGCTGGAGAGTGCTTGCACAACTGCGAACGCAGTGGCATCGAGCTGCTTTCGGGGAACTGGCTTCGGGATTTGAAGTATGCAGACGACATCGCCGCAATGTGTGATTAATCACAGAACTCCCAAAATGTGTTGGGTTGGTTGGAGGTGTCTCCCAGTACCGCAGGCGGTCGGCCCATTGAAGTAAGACCTATCAACCCATTCGGGTTATCAGTTGAAAGTAGCATACAAGTTTGTTTACCTCGGAAGCTGTTTCTGCGCCAACGGATGAAGTCTTTACGTGTCTCTAAGGTCCGGGTTACTTGGGTGTATCTCAGCTATCTCTGGCGTCGACACAATCTCAACTTACTTGAAGGGCCGCGTCTACAATACTACGGTGAGAGCGGTCCCGTTCGATGACTGCGAGACTTGGTCTGCTCGCGCAAAAGAGGTTCACATGCGGTTTCTTTCAACTCACCGTTGCCTTCGGAGCGTTGGTGGTATACGATTTCGGCATAACATTAAAATGATGAGTTTTGTCGACGGATTTCTAAAGCAGACGGACTGCCAACCGATAAGCCTCGGTAACTTGGGCACCTGCTTTGCATGTTAGCTCAGCGTTTGCGCGCGCAGAGATCGGCTGGGAGCAGAAGCAAGCTGACCACCGAATAACATAGGTTGAAAGTATGAGTGCGCTGACTCCCAAGTTTGTCTTGGTCGAGCGCTCTCGACTTCCCGACTGGGGCGCAAGGACCACAACCCCGCCTGTTGGAAAACTTCTAGGACACGGAGATAATTCACACTCAATGGTGGACGTGTTGGGAGATCATACAAAATATCTGCAATGTTTCTTTTCCACGTGTTGTGGAAATGCCAACTGTACTACTATTTGCAGTGATATATATATATATATATATATATATATATATATCAGTCATGAAATAGCGAAACTGATGAGAAACAGCCCAGCCTAGCTTAGTACAAGAATAGTGGTAGGTAGATGAAGGTTGGAGTCGTTTTCTCAGCGGGAGTACCCCGTTAGTAAAAGTCGGTGATAAGGGGACCTATTCAGCCGGTAATTCAATCACCAGTTCGAATCCGCGTAGGTGCAGGCAACCTCACAGTATACTCAGTTCAACGTGACCGGTGGTGGCCGCGTGTTAGTGGAGCGTCAGTACGGTGTGCGGGAGCCCAACGACAGTTACTTTCTTCCACCTCCCCTCACTAATTATATCGATGAAGCGAGTTTTCCACGGAATTACAAACCGACACGTACAGCTAAGATTTAAAAAGTTCGTGGTTGCTGTACTAAGCGTAGGTTGCTGACTTGACCTGTCCATGGTCCGAATCTGAGCAATATAGAGAACCATTGGGTTTGAATGGCGAACGCAACCGAACGTTTTAGATGAACGAATAGCCGAAGATGACAAAAAGGTATACGTGGCGTTGTGTGTGCGCCACTGCTAGTTCTTATCCACCAAGCGCGCACATGCGTTCCGCGGCC